TCACTGAAAAGTGCTATTTAAATTTGTTGTAGCTTTATGCCTGGTACGCAGCTAAAAAGTAATGGCGTTTTTACGTGCTACGGGATAGGACCCGGAATGCTAAAGAAATTACTTTTCCTTAGCATTTCTTGACCCAGTACGCAGTTCAAAAGAAATCGGTAAATGAATGATCGATTACATTAGTATCGTGATCGACATGAAGGTAGCGCATTCTGAGTGTAATTTCACTTTCCTTGCGGAATAATGGTCTGATCAATTAATCTGTTAGGTAATTTTAACGTTTGTTGTAAAAATGATGTTTTGGATGCATTTTAACAACATAAAAACTGATAATTATTGATTTTAAAATTAGACGACACCCCTCTATGATCGCAAAATTTAGCAAAAGACCCCTCCCTATAGCTGTCCAATTTACTTTTGGAATATTCCTCAACAAATATTTTTCCGTTTTGTTTTCAGCTGCGTACTAGGCTTTAGGTAGCAGTAACACCAAAGAAGAATACTAAGATGAAACAGTCAGAAGAAAAACTTTCGATTTTAGTGTCCTCCTTCACGGTCCCTTTCATCCAATGAATACCCCCCGTATGCGGCGCCGGTGGTGTAGTGGTAAGCGTGAATGCTTTCTCACCCCAATGGGTCTGGGTTCAATCCCAGCCGAGGTCGGTGGGATTTTTCTGAGGCATAAAAATCTCTGGTCACGGACAGGAAGTAAAGCCGTTGGTCCCGGCCCATGTGTGTTGAATGGGTGCGATATCCTACGCAGGTGTGGAAGCTGCCTTCCTGCACATTCGATTGCCGTCAATGGATGGCTATCGATGTCCGTCGGTAATTGGCACTAGATTGTGGAACAGAGACCGACGTTAAATTAAGGAAAGAATAAATAATGATACAATTTGAAAGGAACCGGGACTAATCACAAATTACCGGTTGGTAACACTTCCTTCAACAAAAAGCAAATAGACCCGCACGACGCACGACAAGAGAGCACGATGCGGATTGACGTGCAGTGCTGCTAATTGTGCGTTAAGTTCAACGTAAAAGTAAAATAAGAGCGTTTGACGGAGGAAAAGGATTTTAAGGCTGTGTTCCATTTGGAAATTTTTCCACTTTTACACTTCGAAAATAAATTAAGATGTTCGAAAATCCCTCTGTTGTTGATCGGCCGATTTTCGAAATAGCGTCTATCAAAGTTGATTCATTGTCTGTCAGAAATAAGCCTGCTTGAAAGGCAGGTTATTCAAAAAATTTCCATCTGTCAAATTTAAGTGAAAATTCACCAAATGGAACACAGCCTTAGGATGTATTCCATTTGATGAATTTTCATTTACATTTGACACTTCGAAAATAAATTATAATGTTCGAAAATCCCTCTGTTGTTGTTCATCCGATTTTTGTCAAAATTTATTCCTGGTCTGTCAGATATAAGTCTGGTACAAAGTAGGTTTATTTGAGAATTTTCCATCTGTCAAATTTAAGTGAAAATTCACCAAATGGAATATAGCCTAAGGCTGTGAACCATTTGCCGAGTTAAATTTAAGTCGTGGTTAAAAGTGACATTTCGAAAGTTATTTTCTATGTTCGAAAATCCCTGTGCTGTCGATCGACCGGTTTTCGAGAAGAACTCAGCCAAAGTTGTCAAAATTTAACTTCTTGTCTGTCAGAAGTAACCAAGCTCGGATAGCAGGGTCAATCGATAACTTTCCATCTGTCAAATTTTAACCAAAAGTTAAAATAATCCACCAAATGGTTCAGAGCCTAAGTACCCGATGAAATGCTTGAACCCTTTCATGGATGAAAAGAATGACATACTTCGTGTGGGAGGACGGATTAAAAACAATCAGATTCCTTACGGCAGTAAACATCAGATACTTCTGCCTGCAAACCATCCAATGACGATTTCCATTGTCCGCTAAGAGCAACATGCATATTGGTCAGCGTGCATTGCTTAGAGGCAACAATATTGGCCTCTAAGAGCCAAGACTGTTATTAGAAACGTGATCCATAAGTACACACCTTGCTATCGAGCAAACCTGAAGAGAGCGACGCAGTTGATGGGAGATTAGCCAGAATACAGAGTACAAACAACGTATCCATTCGCCAACGTCGGCGTGGATTTCGCCGGACCATTCACACGCTGCGGTTTCTGTTAGAAAAGGTGTGATGATCAAAGGGTACGTATGCCCTCCCCTTGGCTAGTTTTTGCACATTGTTGCTGTTGGGCGGCCTAATTTCATGCTTTTTAGTGGAGTGTTGGAGACGGTAGGCTTATGGCCGGCGTTTCTGGCTCATGCCGCTATAGAATGGCGCCATGGGCAGGCAATTGGGATTACTAAGCTTCCACTCTCTGATAAACCACTGCATGAGAGAACCAAAGATCTAGTCTAGCAGTGATAGTATCACACTTGCTACTCCTTTGTTTGAGAGCCGCGTCGTAGTACGGTTACGTACAGGCACTGACGTTGGGTGCGATACTGGCGGGTTTTGCCGCAAATCACTTTTATTTTTATTTTTAACGCAGATAGATCTATTTTGGTTTGCAAGAGAATTATACCAACAATCAATACGAAAATAACGATTTAAAATTGGCTCACTACTTGACTAGTCTATTGGTCCCAAGCAAATCGATTAACGTACCCTATTCTAGTCGAAAGTTGAGTACCAGATCTGAGCCAAAAAGTTGAGCACGTTTCTTCGGGACCTTCTGGTCTTAGAGTTACCTCTACGATTATACTATTGGAATATTTCAGAAAGTGCCCAACAGTGCTCCTTCTACTTGCGTGACAAGCTTTCATTGTTGTTTTCATTGAGGTATTACTCAGGGAACAATGTTAAACACCATTTTTGTACATGGTATTGTAACTAATTTTATATGTGCTTCATTTTGATTTGAGATAAGTTTTTAACTATGACTCGGGATTTCCACTGTAGTGTGCTTCTATTGGGTCATACCCATATGTATTTTTGTGGTGCGACATAGTGGAAACGTGAAGCGTAATTTGAACATTTACCCTATACAATATACAATTTAAAATTAGCTTGGAAAATAACTTCACAGTGAAGCATTTTAGTCACTTGAAGTTGTCAGCTGGGACGAACAAAGATATAATTAATATTTGTCAAAGGCCAGAATTACTTGAAACACGTTAAATTTTAGTTTAAAAGCATTGGTTATGATTGTGTAGGTAGATTAGAGATTTCAGTTATTTATTAAATAAGACTAAATAATCATCAAATGAACTTCAATTAGAGAATTCAGAAAGTTAATTAACTAGCCTTTAGAGTTGTATAATAAATCTTTCTATTAAGTATATTTGTTAATTACAGGCAATGTCAATAGCAGTCATATCTTCAATCAGGCGCTTACGAATAAGTGAAGTTTTAGGAAAGGTGTGTTAAATATGTTGATAAGTTTGAAATAGGAATTAGGATTGTTGTGCTTTAGTTTTCGGTAAGGTATGATGTGTCAACTAAACCCTTTTGAGCCAATTTTCAAAAATCAAATTTATTGAGTGATTTATTGAAAGACATCTTCATTGAAACATTACGTTGCGTTAGAAAACAGTATTATTCTCTAACGAACATTGAAAAGTCATACATCTAACATAGTAGTAGTAGCAGTGTCGCATAATCTAATCACAATTTCTGCAATACTGGGCTGAATACTGATCAAAACTAACATAACTCTTAACACTAAAATGATCCAGGAACTAACACTCATCAATTGCACTTTCAGTTATATATTAGTTTCATTTTCCAACTAATTTATCTATGCTTCTTTCTATTGTTTGGATCAAGTACAACTAATACTAATCTACCTTTGTGTATGCTTACTCCCTTTTAACCCATTATCTTTATGAATGGCGAATCATATGGAGCTGGAACTCAAAGAAATAACGTGATTTCAATGGACTAAGGAGAAGGAATAGAATTACTTCGAACAGGATATCAAACAAATTCAGGACCAATCCATTAGAGACCAGAAATCAACAAGGCACCTGTGAGTTATATACTCGGAGAGGTATTTGATAAATAAGCAAAAAGTGGTAAGTTAAAATCATAGTGGAGCCAAGGATCATGAGAAGTAATTGCCAATAATTCATATTATCCTATAATTGATACTACTATTTTTATATATCCTTGAAATTAGTCATAACAGAGTAACAGAAAGAGTTTAAAAACAGATGGGGAAGGACAATAGGCACAAGTTGACACAATACTCAAGACAAGTTGGGGTTAATACACAAGACAAAATGACAAAATAAGTGACGACAGAAGACTAGACTGGGACAAAAATCAACCTTTTAAAAAACAAGAATGCGCAATTATATTATCAAAACTATTTGGATCAACACACTAACAACAGTGACCAAACGGGCACCATAGCCTAGGAACGTCTGTGTGTTGATTTAAAATAGAGGCTCATAGAAGTAAAATTTATCAATAAAAGGGGTTTAGTGTAGAGTTTAAGCAAGTGTATGCTGACACTGTGATCACCATAAAAAAAAGATGACCAAAGGGTACGTAGAACAGTACGTATGCGTCTTTGTGTGTATGGCCACGCGGGCTATACATTTGGAAGCAGTTTCAAGTCTTTCAACTGATGCGTTCTTGGCTGCTCTTTCATGCTTTGTGAGCAGAAGCGGTCTACCGTCAAAGATTATCTCAGATAATGCCACCATTGCCGTTGGTGTGAATAATGATTTTGCGAAACTTGCCAAGCTGTTCGAAACGGAAATGCATCAAAAGAGGCTGAATGAATTTTTCGTTCAGCGAAACATCGATTGGTCTTTTATACCTCTCCGTAGTCCGCACTTCGGAGGGATATGGGAAGCTGGCGTGAAATCGGCCAAATTTCACCTCCGGCCGATTCTTCAACTTTGTAATGGTTATCTTCACGAATAATTTGAAAAATTTGAACAGCATGGGAAAAGTATACTATTTAAGTTGTAAATTGAACCGATCACGCGATTTGTACTCCATATTTTTACTTTAATTTTCAGGTGGTGATCTGATGTCACTTTTAATCAAGAAAGGGATATTTGAAGAAGATTTAGCTAGATTCTATATTGCCGAGCTAACGTGCGCTATCGAAAGCGTCCATAAGATGGGATTCATCCATAGGTACGAAATTGCCTTTCAAACAAGATTTGAAGTTTCACCCGCTGATGCATTTTTTTTATTTTGCCACAGGGACATCAAACCAGATAACGTACTGATTGACAAGAAGGGTCACATCAAATTAACCGACTTCGGACTCTGTACGGGGTTTCGTTGGACGCATGATTCCAAGTACTATCAAAAGAATGGTAAGTGTTAACAAACTTGTAGTTAAGATTCATCTATGCACCTTAACCAAATACGACAACTAGTGTAAGATGAGTGATTAATATTGTATATACTTGGGTATTACTTGTGCACACCAGGAGATGAAATTAAGCATTTTTCCTCGCTGCCTCGTTTTCAAAAACAATAAAACCAATAACTCTTCCTTCAGGTGATCATGCGAGGCAAGATTCAATGGAAGCATGGAGTAAAGCTGGTTCGGAAATCCCACCCCCATTGGAAAGGTAATTCTACATTAGTAATATTCAGGGCTAGTTCTCACTTATTGACGTACTTCTCGTTCTGTTCATTAGGCGAAAATTTAGGGAGAAAAATCGTGCGAAAGCGCATTCTATTGTCGGTACGCCTAATTATATAGCTCCCGAAGTACTGCTGAGGAGTGGTTATACTCAGCTTTGTGATTGGTGGAGTGTCGGTGTGATATTATACGAAATGCTGGTGGGTCAACCTCCGTTTCTGGCGAGTACGGCAGAAGAAACCCAGATCAAGGTTAATATTTGGGAAATGTTTTGCACACATCCGCGTTTATCTTTTCCCTAAGTACATCCATTCAATCATATCCTGTTTCAGGTGATAAACTGGCGACAAACCCTGAAAATTCCTCCGGAAGCAAAGCTTTCTTCAGAGTCTCAAGATATTATCCTTCGGCTGTGCAAGAATGAAGACGAACGCATGGGTAGAGATGTGGGCAAAATCAAATCACATCCATTCTTCCGGACCATCGACTTCACGAAGGATTTGCGGAATCAACCAGCACCGTATGAACCAAAAATCAAATATGCTACTGACACATCAAACTTTGATCCAATAGATCCGGCAAAGCTGCATGACTCGTCCTGCGAAGAAAGCGGCCAAAGCTTTGACGAGCTGTTCGATAGCAGTAAACCGTTTCACCATGGATTTTTCGAATTCACTTTTCGGCGATTTTTCGACGACGAAGGCGATCATAAAATATCTCTTGACGCCAGTGACAATCAGACCGAAGCTATATATGTGTGAAATGCGGAGAGTTTTACTAACAGCTATATATATGAACATTATGTTAATACTCTTAAAATATTAGCAATTATATTTAAAATACGATATGTAAAAATAATTATTATCACTATCCAGGTTATTTTATTACTCTTCAAAAATTTCAAGTTCCCTATCAACTGTTTTCGAAGTCGTCAGTAGAAGTTGTACCCAAGTTGTATTATACGCATAACATAATCCTTATGGACCGTGGGACTCTTATGTGTATAACGGCAGTATACTTAGTGAATAAAAGCTATTGTTTCGGAACGGTTTGTCCGATTTCTGCCGCTAAAACGACGCTCTTGTCGCCGCAGTTGAAGCAATAATTTAGTGAAAGTATTAAAATAAACACTAGTTCAGGGGATAAGTACAGAGTTTTGCGTATACGCAATATAGAGATGCACCGAATAGTATTGTATCGTATATACGATACCATTACTATTCGGTGATCCTTTACGCTCATGCACCAATTGCCCCTTACTGGTGCCCTTAAATTAATTTATTTACCAATTATTACCTAACCGCTGAGGAAGCGGAACTAGATTATAGTTCACATTTTTGGTAAGGATGTGTAAAATTGCAGTTTGAAGGAAATTGGTAGTACACTCTTGATAATTTTGAATATTTTCTTCAGTAAGTCGTATATGAAACTGTCACACTAAATTCACAAAGGGAATATTTCCTCTGCGCCGCATTATTATTCTAGATCATTTGAGAGTTTATGCGCCGATTAAAAAAAAGCATGCTATATTGTACGTAGCCACCCCCTTATCAAAGGGGCTACCCCCTATGACCATCTCCTTATAACTCCACATGCCAAATTTGGTTCCATTTGCTTGATTAGTTCTCGAGTTATGCAGAAATTTCTGTTTCATTTGTATTTTAGACACCCCCCCCCCCCTACAGAGAGGGGAAGGGCCTCGAAATATCATATGAACCTTTCCTGGTGTGAAAAGTGAGTGATGAGATGAGTGATTTTCGGAGTTTTGAATTCGTTAGATGTTGTAATGGAGATTTGTGTTGTTGGATGCGGGAGGAGATTGAAGGGCGGGTGTTTGACGCATAGAGCCTGTCAATTTCGCTTTCAGAGTGTCGCAGTCAGCGGTTTTATGATTCGTGAGCGCTCGCGATTCGGAGAATCGTTGATTTTGACTGCAAGTGGATCAGCCGGGTTTTGTGTGTCGGAGGCTTGCTTTTTGGCCTCTTCTTGTGTCTAACATGTGCAGAGTATCATTAAAGCGTCTAATGGTTTTGAGATTCCTGGTTGCGTGAAATATATTTGTGAGAATATCTTTTTGAGATTTTAGAAGTCACGTTTTGTTTGTAGTTTATATTTTATTTTATAGATTATAGATTTTATTTTAATTATCGTAAATAATAGTGCCCTCCCCTTGGCTAGTTTTTGCACCTTGCTGTTGGTGGGCGGGCTTAATTTCATGGTTTATAGTGGAGTGTTGGAGACGGTAGGTTTATGGTCGGCGTTGCTGGCTCATGCCGCGATAAAATGGCGACATGGGCAGGCGATGGGGATTACTAAGCTTCCCCTCTCTGATAAACCGCTGCATGAAAGAACCAATGATCTAGTCTAGCAGTGATAGTATCACACTTGTTACTCCTTTTATTGAGAGCCGCGTCGTAGTACGCTTACGTATAGGCACTGACGTTGGGTGTGATACTGGCGGGTTTTGCCGCAAATCACTCTTATTTTATTTATTTTTTACGCAGATAGATTTATTTGGGTTTGCAAGGGAATTATACTGTTGAAATATTTCAGAACGTGCCCATCGGTGCTTCTTCTATTTGCGTGACAAGCTTTCATTGTTTTTTTTCATTGAGGTATTACTCAGGGAACAATGTTAAACGCCATTTTGGTACATGGTATTGTAACTAATCTTATATGTGCTTCATTTTGATTTGGGATAAGTGTTTGAACTATGGCTCGGGATTTCCACTGTGGTGTGCTTCTATTGTGACATACCCATATGTATTTTTGTGGTGCGACATAGTGGAAACGTGAGAGCGTAATTGGAACATATGCCCTATATAATTTAAAAATCAGCTAGGAAACTAACTTCAAAATGAAGCATTTTAGTCACTTGAAGGTGTTACCTGGGTCGAAGTAAGATATAATAAATAGGTATAGGCTTAAATCAAAAGTACTTGAAACACGTTTAATTTTAGATTACAAGCACAAGTGCAGGTATTTAATAAAGCATGGGTTATGATTGATTAGGTGAATCAGAACTTTTAATAATTTATTAAATTAGACTAATGAGATATCATAATCATCAAATGAACTTAAATAAGAAACTTTAGAAAGTTTAATGACATTAAGTAGATTAACAAAAGAATTAGGATGCGGGGGTCCGCTTAGTGAGGCAATTAACCTTTAAAGTTGTAGAATAAATCTTCTTATTTAGTCTTGAACTTTAAAAAGAAAACGCAGGCAGACCAATAACATTAAGCAGATTTACAAGGAGAGGAATAGTTTAGGAAATAAGAAAAGGAAAGGAATGTGACAATTAATAGCTTTTAAACTTTTGGAGGTATTGTATTCCCCTGAGTTTATTGTACTCGATTATTATATTATTCTCTCAATACGCGAAATCTCTTATATATGCGGTTAAAGCATCTGAGTTAACTTATTTCTTAGTGTTCAAGTACTTACATTTTTAAACAGCAGTCAATGTTAATCTATGAACTAAACCATACGTAAAATCGACCTTTCCTTATGTGGTATTGATGCATGTTTAACTTTTCGCGGCTGTCGGAATCAACGCGCCTACGTCTACGGAGCTTACGCAGAAGTGATTCGCAATGCAGTAGAGCTCACCAAAAAAAAAATTTTTTTTTTGATTTTCTGTAGTATAGAATTTGTTTGGTACGGTCGCGAAATCTTGAAATGATTGATACGTGCGGTAAAATAACTAAATTGAAACAAAGCTCAACAGTAAAATAAGTAGAATATTTAGGGAGGAAACCAAAATAAATCAACTTGCCAACATAGGCTATCACATTTATTTTGCTGGCACTCTTTAAGTGATAATAAGTTGTTGTTTTCTCTATGGTTGTTTCGCGTGGCGTTCACAATTTGCGCGATTTTCGTATCTAACGTAATTTAGATGTTTAGCTATAAACGGTTTTACTGACTCGAGGTCATTTCTTAAGCGGTGTTGGTACAGGTTAAACCTTTGCCGACTGTCGGATTCAACGCGCCTACGTCTACGGAGCTTACGCAGAAGTGATACGCAATTCGGTAGAGCTTGTCAAACGCTTTTGAGCTTATAGAATTTGTTCGGTGCGGTCGCGAAATCTTGAAATGATTGATACGTTCTTTAAATTAACTAATTTGATACAAAGCTCAGTAGTAAATAAGTAGAATATCTAGGGAGGAAACCAAAATTAATCAAATTGCCAACATAGGCTATCACATTTATTTTGGTGACACTCTTTACATGATAATAAGCCTTTTTTCTCGCTTCGGTTGTTTCGCACGGCTTTCGGAATTCGCGCGGTTTTCGTAACTCACATAATTTAGATATTTCGTTCGAAACGGATTTACTTATTCAATCGGTTTACAACGCGGATGTATCTACGCGCACACGTCACAGCATTTTTTCGATAACTATCTTGAAACAATACATACGGAATCCAGTGTTCAAGCGGCCAACATAGGCTAGTCCTTCTGCTGTATTGTCAAAGATAGAAGCAAAATTTATTCAAATGGGTCAAGTCATGAAAATTAAGCTGTCACGCAGCTCGTTATTTATTAAATTATCGTAAATAATAGTTATTCAATAATAGATAGTTCATCCATATATTCGTACTTTGACACGAAGTGCTGTGGATTATGAGATGCCCGATGACCCTGGAGGGATCGATTTTGCTTACTGAGCAGAAAATCATGGATTTAACCTCAAGCTCTTCCACAGCACAATAAATCGCCACCATCATTTGTATATTTGATATTGAACATTAACCTCGGAATAACGGCGCCGGTGGTGTAGGGGTAAGCGTGATTACCTCTCACCCCAGCAGGCCTGGGTTCAATCCCAGTCGGCGCCGCCGGGATATTCTGAGGCATAACATCTCTGATCACGCCTTCCTTCGGATGGGAAGTAAAGCCGTTGGTCCCCGGTTCATGAGTTGATGGGTCGATAGGTAGGGTCCAGGTGTGGGAGCTGCCTTCCTGGCACGTCGGTAGCATTGGTGCTCAGCACGGAAAACAAGATCGACGGAAAAAACAAACCAAAGGAAAAAAAAAAAAAAAATTAACCTCGGAAACTATTTGCATATCAAGCGAAAACCTAGTCCTGTATTGTCACGAAGCGTTATGGTTCTGAGATGCTCGATGACCCGGAGGGATCGTTTTTGCTTACTGAGCAGAAAATCATGGGTTTAATCCCAAGCTCTCTGTCATGACTCTTAAAATTCATGATCACTAAACAAAATAAATATGTTCTTTCGATAGCCGGCTATCGAGAGATGAAATCAACAACAAATAAACAATACATACTTTTGGTTGCATCGCCAACTTGAGGTGAATCTTAACCGAATACCCTACCCAACCCTCCAACTCCGAAGCACTTAGGGAACATGCATAAATGACGTAGGATTTGAGGGGGGAGGTGGGGGTTTCAGAATTTGTGACCGGTCATGTATTGGATATAGCAAAATAAGCTACGAGGGGGGAGGGAGAGGTCTAAAATTGATCAAAAATATGCTACGTCATTTATGGATGCTCCCTTATGAGGGTGTCGCTAAGTCGGTGGCCTCTCGTTAAGTAAGTACTACATCAACATTTCCTTCCCTATCCCTAGTTATGGTAAAGATGGGCGTGGCCCGGAATAGCAACAGTCATACTTCTGTTACTCTTGTTTAGATTGGAACCAATGTTTACTCCCCAACATTTTTCCTGAAAGTAGTCTAACTGAGAATTTCTTAAGAGACGTGAGTGTCGCTAGTATCCAATCTACGAAGTATATCATAACAACGCTAACGCTAACATCTTACATGCTGGAATATGTCCAGTACAGTATGAATATAACATACTGCCGGCCTCACCTCCGACCACCGGGC